CTTCCCCTGGCCCGCCCTGGCGCCTCCCTCCAGGCCCCTGGGTGCCTCTTCCCGACCCCGCGGGGGGCCCAAGACCCAGCGAGCGGGAGCGGCCGAAAGGCAGGCGGTGGACCCGCGTTCCCGCTCCGCAAAGCGGCGCCGTCCAGCTTCCGCCGCCCCGGCGCGCCGTGGTCAGAGGGACCCTCATTCCACCCAGGCCCGGCTCGGCCTTCGAGGCTGGAGTAGCTCTCCTCCCGTGTCCCGGACGAAGCCGCAACCAGAAGAGGACTCCTCAGCCACGAGGGCGCGCCGGCTGTCCACACTACCGCGGCCCTGGGCGCCGGGCACCACGGCACCTTCCCTAGTGCGACTGCGCGGGAGCCCGGGCAGCGGGAGGCGCAGGCAACTACACATCCCGGAGTGCACTGCGGCAGGAAGCTGCCGCCGCCTCTGACCACGCCCCGGAAGATAAGGCGGCTCGCCGGCTCGCCCTTTCCTCTTTCGGCCGCGCTCGGGAGCAGGTAAGCGGCCGCTTGGCGTTTTGGCCTTGTGTCCATCCGCCGCCATCCGCCGCCTTCTGTCGCTGTCTGCTGTCGCTTGTGGAGCGGGGTCCCGACCTGCACCCCAGGCGACTCTTCTGAAGGCGCGGGCGCGTCCCGGGGGGGTGGTCCCGGGCGCTAGGGCCGGTCCCGGGCCCTGGGGTTGACGGGGCGCTGACGCTCGGCCGCCTTCACACCCGCAGCTATGGGCCGTGTGATCCGCGGGCAGAGGAAGGGCGCAGGCTCCGTGTTCCGCGCGCACGTGAAGCACCGCAAGGGCGCCGCACGCCTGCGCGCCGTGGACTTCGCGGAGAGGCACGGCTACATCAAAGGCATCGTGAAGGTGCGGGGGCCGCCGGCCGGGCGGGCGGGGGAAGGGGCCCCCCGACGGCCGCGCCGTCACGCTGCTGCCTTCCCCAGGACATCATCCACGACCCCGGCCGCGGGGCGCCCCTCGCCAAAGTGGTCTTCCGCGATCCCTACCGGTTCAAGAAACGGACGGAGCTGTTCATAGCCGCCGAGGGCATCCACACGGGCCAGTTCGTGTACTGTGGCAAGAAGGGTGAGCCTTGTGGAGAGGTGGGGAGCCGGTTTGGCGTTCTCGGTTTCGGCTCCGCTGGAACCTTTGCTGGCGGAGGCCTCAAGTGGGCGATCCATGTGGGTCCACTGGGCCTGAGAGAGAAATCAATATAGAAGCGCTTGAAAGAGACTGAGGGCTTGACGTTGGACGCTGCCATCGCCGCTTTGGGGATTGCCTGGGGAGATGTTTCACGTTGCTTTTGACTTCTCGGTACCACTTCTGTTGCAGCCCAGCTCAACATTGGCAATGTTCTTCCCGTGGGCACCATGCCTGAGGGTACTATTGTGTGCTGTCTTGAAGAGAAGCCTGGGGACCGGGGCAAGCTGGCTCGGGCCTCCGGGAATTACGCAACTGTCATTTCACACAATCCCGAGACCAAGAAGACCCGTGTGAAGCTGCCATCCGGCTCCAAGAAGGTCATCTCTTCTGCCAACAGAGCTGTTGTTGGTGAGTGCCAGACAGGTCACACTGAACACTACCAGTCTAGAAGTACTAGACTCTGGAACTTGAATGACTACTTTCTTCTTTTTTTGGGGGGGCTTGAACTCTGGGCCTGGGCGCTGTCCCTCAGCTCTTCAGCTCAAGGCTAGCGCCCTGCCACTAGAGCCACTTCTGGTTTTCTGAGTGGTTAATTGGAGATAAGAGTAAGTTGAGTCCTGTTCAGTGTTTTCATTCCAGGATTATGTTCACAAAATAAGTAAGGCTGTTTGCAGTAAGCTTTGTCACGTTGGGGGGGGGTTTCTCAGATGTTGAGGATGTTCTGGCATCCCCGGGCAGCTGATCTCATTTTAAGTATTCAACCTGATGGAGAGTGGTTTGACTTGAGAGACAAAGAGGTTTCTGTGTTAGTTCACTGTATGTGTAGACGCCCTAGGATGGAGTCTACTAAGTTTCTATCTAGTGGTTGTGAGAGTCCTTTGAGAGTGATCATTGCAGAGATGTAGGGAAATGGTAGAGGGCCAATGGAGGTTTTAACTGTGGTGTCCTGTGATGCACATCCTCGAGGTATGTGATCTTTCCTACAGGTGTAGTGGCTGGGGGAGGCCGAATTGACAAACCTATCTTGAAGGCTGGCCGTGCCTACCACAAGTATAAGGCCAAGAGGAACTGCTGGCCCCGTGTACGGGGTGTGGCCATGAATGTAAGTATTCTAGAAATGGGGAGTGGAGTACCTGGGGCTAAAGTGCCTTATGGCTGTCCCCTACTGGGGAATATTTGTAGTAGAACCACTAAATGGTGATTTGTAGCCAAAGGGCACACTTGATCCTATTATAGCCTTCCCAGAGCAAGTTGGGGTCACCCTTACACTAATGCCATCATCTCCCTTTGCCTGTAGCCTGTGGAGCATCCGTTTGGAGGTGGTAACCACCAGCACATTGGCAAACCCTCCACTATCCGTAGAGATGCCCCTGCTGGACGTAAAGTGGGTCTCATCGCGGCCCGTCGGACTGGGCGGCTCCGTGGAACCAAGACTGTGCAGGAGAAAGAGAACTGAAGCGGAAGGGATCAATAAAACATGTCTTTGGCTATTAGGTTGTGCTTACGTATGTTTCTGTGGTTTCAGGGTTAGGGATCATGCTGTGGAGCCTTTTGGTAGAATGAAGGTTGAAGAGACTACCAGTGAGATGGGCTGTAAGACTACAGGACTAGGAGTTTGCTCCCCAAGGACGGGCTCAAAACCATGGCATAACGAGCTGGGACTTGGGTTGGTGTCTTTTTTTGTTTGGTCAGTCATGGTGTTTGGACTCGGCCTGGGCACTGTCCCTCAGCTCAAGGCAAGTGTTCTACCATTTGAGCCACCACCACTTGAGGTTTTCTGGTGGTTTATTGGAGATAGAGTCTCACAGCCTTTGCTGCCTGGGCTGACTTTGAACTGTGATCTTCAGATCTCAGCCTCCTGAGTAGCTAGGATTACAGGCATGAGCCACTAGCACCTGGCTGTTTATTTCTTGAGTTCTTGCCAAGTAGCCCAGGTTGGCTTTCAAAACTATCCTGGCTAAGACCTTGGAATTCTGGGATTACAAGCAGGCCCCAGGATGCCCAGTTTTTTATTTAGTGGTTCTGGAGACCGAACTCAGCATTATACCTGCTAGATAAGCACTTTGCTTGGCAGGTACTTGAGTTTGAATCCTAGTCTTAGACCTGAAAAAAAAAAAGCATTTAAATTTTGGGCTGGGACTGGCCTAGTGGTGGAATGCTTGCCTAGTATGCGTGAAGCCCTGGGTTCGATTACTCAGTACTACATAGACAAGCCAGCAGTGGCACTGTGGCTCAAGTGGTAGAGTGCTAGCCTTGAGCAAAAGCAACTCGGACAGTGCCCAGGCCCTGAGTTAAATCCCCAAGACGTGAAAATAAACTGTTTGGATCCAAGGTTGTGGGTTCATCGCTTCAGAGAGATACTTTTTCTGACTAATCTTTTCAACTCATGACTTTATTACACCTAATGTTGCATGTGTTTCTTAAAAATCTATATAGCTGGGCACCGGTGGCTCACGTCTGTAATCCTAGCTACTCAGGAGGCTGATATCTGAGGATATCGGTTCAAAGTCAGCCTGGACAGGAAAGTCTGTGAGACTCTTATCTCCAATAAACAACAGAAAACCGGAAATGGTGCTGTAGCTCAAGTGGGAGAGCGCTTGCCTTGAGCTGAAGAGCTGAGGGACAGCACTCAGGCCCAGAGTTCAAGCCCCACAACCGACAAAAAAAATTCTGTGTACATATGCTGCAATTTTAAACAGCTGTGCTTACTTTGCACACAAGCATCTGCTAACATTAGATTACATTACCAAGAATTTTTGTAGGATTCATACAGAGGAGGCTTTTTCTTTTTTTTGGGTTCAGTCATTGGGGCCTGAACTCTGGGCCTGGGCTCTGTCCCTCAGCTCTAGGCTAGGGCTCTACCACTTGAGCCACAGCACCGCTTCTGGCTTTTTTCCTTTTGCTTACGGGGTGCTGAGGAATCAAACCCAGGGCCTCATACGTACTTGTGCAAGGCAAGTGCTCTACCACTGAGCCACCTTCCCAGCCCCAGAGGAGGCTTTTTCTAAGGAGATATTTTCAGGGTTTCAGCTCCACTAACTTGTGTCTGATGTATCCCCAGACTGAGTTTAGCACCTGCTATTAATGAAGCATTCTATATTTTCTCCAATATATGAAGAGAATACTTGTTCTTTGCCAGGCCTGGGGCATGAACTCAGGATGTGGACACTACCTGAGCTGCTTTTGTTGTTCCACCACTGTATCTGGGAAGTATACCACTTGTTCCCCCCTCCCCCCCATTAAATAGTTGTACATAGGAGCTATAATTCCCTAAGTCAGGTTATGAGTACAATGCTTCCTGGTCAATGCTACCACTTCCTGCCTCCTGTCCCTAGCATTACCTTCAAAAACTTTCCCATGCTTACAGCTGGAAGGAGTTGAATTTGAATCTCAGATAAGAATTTAGGCTTAGACTTTTTGTCAGTTGTGGGGCTTGAACTCTGCCTGGGCACTGTCCCTGGGATCGTGGGCTCAAGGCAAGTGATCTGCCACTTGAGCCACAGTGGCACTTCAGTTTTCTCTTGGTTAATTGGAGATAAGTCTCAGGACTTTTCTGCCCATGCTGGCTTTGAACCTCAATCCTCAGATCTCAGCCTCCTGAATAGCTAGGATTACAGGCATGAGCCATTGGCACCTGGCTTAGGCTGAGTTTTTAGCAATGCTAGAATGAATTAAAATCTTAAGAGTTAGTGGGATGGAATTTTTTTTTTTTTTTTGCTCGGTCATGGGGCTTGAACTCTGGACCTGAGCGCTTTCCATACACTCTTCAGCTCAAGGCAAGCACTCTACCGCTTCTGAGCCACAGCGCCACTTCTGGTTTTCTGGTGGTTTATTGGAGGTAAGGGTCTCATGGAGTTTCCGGCTCGGGCTGGCTCTGAACCATGATCCTCATGTCTCAGCCTCCTGAGTAGCTAGGATTACAGGCATAAGCCACCAGCACCTGGCTACTTTTTTTTTGTAATGTGAAAAGGACATGCCATTTGTGGGCCCGGGGTGGAATTCTATGGTTCCAATAAGGTTTATTAACCAGAAGTTTATGTAGCCCAGGCTGGCCATAAATTTACAATCCTCTATCAGCCTGTGGAGTGTCAAGATTACAGGATTTATGCCACCAGTTGTTAGCTGAATTTCAGTTGAATTTTTATGAAGCATCAGATAAGCTTTTCAAATTTTACATAAGTTATCAATGACAAAGCTTTCCTTTTTTTCATGCAAAACAAGCATTTTGTTATACTTCAATTTCAGCCCCTTCACCATATCCAGTGACATCCTATTCACACACTTCAGGGTTTTAATACTAGGAATAGTCCAGTATGCTAGAATAAATAGAATGGTTATATTTAGTAAAAGCATATAGCAACCTAAAATAAAGCATTTTATTTGGAATGGAAGAAAGTTTTTTTGGGATAAGACCCTTCCTTACTCATGTCAAACTACTGTCAAACCAAAAAAGTATTGTGGCTATCTTTATATCAATATCTTAATCCTAGGATGACTCACCAATATAACTTCAAGATGATAAAGAAGACAAAGGCTACCCTCTTTAGTCTTTACACAGGGGAGGCACAGAATCGGCCTGTGACAGGGTCATCAAGGTGAAGGGAGTCCCACAGAGTTCACAGGAGCTCCTCCCTCCCTGGGAGGCTGTCTGTGTCCTGGTGTGTTTTCCAGCTTGGTCCCTGAAGGCCAGTCACCTCATAGCTTCTTGTGTACTTTCTGGTGCTGGATCAGGTGCCCGTGCTGATTGAAGGCACGCCCACACTCCCCACACTCATAGGGCTTCTCCCCTGTGTGTATACGCTGGTGCTGGATGAGCACTGAGTACTGGCTAAAGGCCTTGCCACAGCTGTTACACTCGTAGGGCTTTTCACCAGTGTGGGTTCTCAGATGCACAATCAGAGTTGCCTTTAGGCTGAAGGACTTGCCACACTCAGTACACTGGAACGGCTTCTCGCCTGTATGAATTCTCTCATGCTGGACCAGAGACCGGCGAGCACTGAAAGCGTGTCCGCACTCCCCACACACATAGGGTTTCTCCCCTGTGTGTACCCGCTGGTGTTGGATCAGATGTGAGTGCTGCACAAAGGCCTTCCCGCACTCATAGCAGGCATAGGGCTTCTCTTCGGTGTGGATACGCTCATGGTTCATCAGGGTTGACCGATGGCTGAAGGTCTTGCCGCACTCGCTGCACTCATAAGGCTTCTCTCCAGTGTGCACGTTGTGGTGCTGGATGAGGACAGAGCGGTCACTGAAGGCTTTGCCACACTCGCTGCACGTGTAGGGCTTCTCTCCAGTGTGGACCCGCTGGTGCTGCAGCAGTGTCCTCTTCACACTGAAGGTCTTGCCACACTCACTGCACCCATGAGGCTTCTCCCCAGTGTGTACCCTCTGGTGGCTCCGCAGCACAGTGCTGTGGTTGAAGGCTTTCCCACACAAGGGACACACATACGGCCTCTCCCCGGTGTGGATCCGCTGGTGCTGGATGAGATGTGAGAGCTGCGTGAAGGCCTTGCGACACTCCAGACACTCATGGGGCTTCTCTCCTGTGTGTATCTTGTGGTGCTGAGCAAGGTCTGAGCTCACTCTAAAGGCTTTTCCACACTCATTACATTCATAGGGCTTCTCACCCGTGTGGATTCTCCTGTGCTTGCTGAGGACTGAGCTCTGGCTGAATGCTTTCCCACAAATGTTGCATACATAGGGTTTCTCACCAGTATGGATTCGCTGATGCTGAAGAAGATGGGAACTCCGACTGAAGCATTTCCCACACTGGATGCACATGTATGGTCTGTCCCCACTAGAAGCTGTCTGGTGCTTTGTGACTGGAAGCTTATGAGAGCCAACAGGGTTTGAACTCAGGCAGAAGCTTTGCTCTGTTTGGTGATGTTCTTGCTCAGTCCTTCCCACGTGTGTTTTTCCCGGAATCACTGTTACTTCATTGGAAGCTAACGGCTTTAAACTTAAGTCTATAGTTTGGTTTTCTTCCTTCGTTTTGCATTCTGAAACAACAAATCCACAATAAAGCTAACACTATTCAAAACTGCAGAGAGCAGCCTTAACATCAACTTTGCTGATTTCTGTGGAGAAATCAAAAGGTGGCATATCCCGAGATAGACTTAATTCCATGGGGTGAAGAGGGAGATATCAGCTTCAGTCTGAGATGATGACCTACGCAGAGGGCACACAGGCTCACAGCCCATCCCTGTGTCACCATACTCAGCCCTTCTGGTTGTAGTTGTGTGGACTGAGCTTCCAAGGGCCACATGAGACAGAAGTGCAGGACCTCTAGGTCTGTACAAGTCTTGCAGGGTAATACAGTAGCATGGGAGCAGCAAAGGCTAGCCTGGGCAAGGGAGACCTGAATACTTAATATGTAGGAAAAGGAATGTTATCATGGGCCAATGTGGTGAGTGGTCAGAGCTTCTGTGTAGGCGGAAAATACACACACACACGTGAATTCAGGGGCTTGTGCTTGCTAGACAGATACTCTACTGCTTGAGCTATGTCCCCAGTCCTTGAGTCATTTTTGGCATAGAATCTTATGTTTATACCCAGGCTGGCCTGGGATTCTCTCATTTATGCTCCAGGTAGCTGGAATGACAAGCTCGAGTCTTTGTTCTGATACTGAGATTGCTTTTGTTTGGGTCTGGGCTGGCCTTAATCCTCCTGATGTCTATTTCTTGAGTGTCTGAGATCATAGGCATTATAATTATTATAGGGATTATAGGCATGGGCCACACTACATGTGGCCTCTGTGGAAAATAATGTCGTATAGGGGACCAGGAGCTATGCAGTAGGAATGTTACCTTTATTCTGGAGGTGAGGCCTGTGGAGAAGGCAGTGTGAGTGGCTGGCAGGGATGGGTGGAGTGGGTGGAGACACTTTTAGGATCAAGCCATGAGCTCTGGAGGCTTTGTATAGGTGTAGGTGCTACAGAGGATAACTCTATTTCACATCTCAGACAGATGTTAAGGTTAAGAATGACTCTCAAAACTGGGCACTAGTGTTCATGCAGTAGCTACTTAGAAGGTTAAGATGGGTGGATTGTGGTTCTAGGCCAATCAGGGCCAAAAAGTTCACAAGACATCCTTAACCAGGGCTGGGAAGGTGGCTCAGTGGTAGAGCGCTTGCCTTGCATGCCTGAGGCCCTGAGTTCGATTCTTCAGCACTACATAAGCAAAAAGAAAAAAGCCGGAAGTGGCACTGTGGCTCAAGTGGTAGAGCGCTAGCCTTGAGCTGAAGAGCTGAGGGACA